CCCCAAAACCCCAAAACCCCAAAACCCCAAAACCCCAAAATTAAATTCGAAATTGAAAATTAAAAATTGTGCGGAGATGGAACGAAGGAAGAGAAAAGTTAAAGTTAAACGAAACTATTTCCAGAAGTAAGCCAAGCACCTCTCAACTTTAGGAGTCCGGTGGTTCGGAAGGATGAAACTGACATCCAGGCTCCTTTTGAGTTCAAAATTCCGAATTCACGGCTCAAATCTTCACTGGAAAACCCTGAGGTTTTAAATATTCCTGGGAACCACAAAAGCGCATTTGACTTTAACTGTTTCAGTGACAACAAGATCGTCGATGAGAATCGGCGATTGTGGAAACAAGTTGCTGAACTTAAGAAAAAGTTGAGGAAGCAAGAGTCTGAAAATCTTCCTCTACCTCAAAAAGGCAAATACAAGGTTGGGACCTTGATCGAGAAAGAGATCAAGCTTGATGATAAGCTGAAAGAGCTTGAGCAAGAGCAGCATGAAGAGGTTTTTGACCAAAGAGATAGGCTAATAGATATCACTTCTGGAGTGAATAATTGACACGCCCCTATTGCGGGAGAGTGGTTCGAAAGAACTGTCTCTGCATCCCTGCAGACTACCTCTAGTAAGGACCTAGAAATAGAGTTACTGAGACAGCAAATCCATGGTCTTCGTAGTGAGCTTCTTAAGGCAAAGGATAAAGTCAAGGAATTACAGAATAAGCTAAATAGCGAAGATGAGATTAATAAAATACTTAATTGTAGTTTTGCGACCAGTGAGCATAATGCAATGTCTTTTTATGGCATCCAAACCAGAGACGCGAAGAACTCAGTCATCGCCAGGAATGTTACATATATGAAGGAGCACAAGTATCCTTTAGAAATCATGGATAATCCTGATAAATTACAGGAAGAGTTGAAGCATTGTCAGGATGAGAACCAATCATTAAAGAAGGAGTTCGAACAGTTGCAGGAAAAGTACCAGAAGATTAATAAAAGGTCAAAGAAACTCTTCACCCTCAACCAGAAATTGATGGTTTCAATCAAAGCCCAGAATGATTTTGACAAGGCGAAAAGAGATAAATAGGAATATTGTTTGTAAAAGTTGTGGAGAGACTGTGAATGCCACTACCGATATGTCTTCTTCAATGGATAGGATTAAAATCAAAGCTGAAAATGTTTCATTTATGTTCTGATCAAATGGATTCAACCATAACTCTCCTACTCTGGGTGTTAGTCCAAGGTTCAACAATGACCAAGAGGAGTTTGTATACTCTACTATTCAACAGAATAAGCCGAAAATTCCTAACAAATCGCCTGAATTTAAGTAAATGTTCTTCTTAACTCATTCTTAAATTTATAGAGCCAAAGTGGTCAATAACGGATGAAAATATGTCAAAAGGCCCAAAAGAAGGAAACACGGAGTTGAGAGAAGCAAGACACCAGAAGAGCATACCAAGAAGGGCTAATTTAAATCTAAAATTTTGGTTGCAAATTTTAAATATTTATAAGGGGTTTTGGGGTTTTGGGGTTTTGGGGTTTTGGGG